CAGTAAAAAGATAGTTGGATTGGATTTGTGTGCACGCATCTATCACTATGATTTAAGGGGAGCCTTGGCGCAATGTTTTGAGTCCTCGAAACAACCTATTGCAAAAATAAGAGAAAGGCTGAGTACAAAAGACCCAGAGTGGTCGGAGCCTGCGCAAGCAAGGCCTGCCCTTTTTTATGCTACCAGTATGATTGCTATTCATGGGCCTGGCCAAGATGGGCTTTTATATATGAAAGTACATCTAAACCCTCTATGGGTGTTCTGGTGATTAATGGCAAAACAATTAGGAGGACTAATGATTTCTAGTAAATTTATTTCAGCATTATTCCATTTTGTAAGTGGTACGGAAGTGACTCCTACTTTTATTCTTTAAGAAGATTGTAGCCCAAGGGTTTAAATTTATAGCTTTCTAGTATTTTGGTGGACCAAAGATTCACATTGAGTCTAAGGACAACCATGCAAAAGAACCACAGATGAACCCCAACTATTACACTTCATGGAGGATCTCAAATGCAACCTTTGATTGGATCAGTCAATGTCCCTCCCCCGCGTCGCTCCTGCGAGCGGACGGGGGAAACCCTAGCGCGCCACGCCCTCCGCCCCCCTCCCGATCCTCCCCTGCCGCCGCCAAGCGGCGCCGCCGGGCGAAGCCTGCCTTCGTAGGCGGAGACCGGGCCATCTCTCCCCCTCCGCTCGGAGTCCCTGGCTAGCGCGGGACAACAGGCCGACGGGGGTGTCAGGCTTCTGCGAGGCTCGACAACGCTACGGCTGGTGCGCGGGATGGTGACGGCGTCGGCTGGTGGCGACGCGGAGTCATTCTGGCGCTCGGCTGGTGTGCGGCGGCTGTGGGGGTCAAGTCGGGTGGTGGCGCGCGGGACGGCCACAGAAAGATTTGGGTGAATCTGTCGCCTGCGGCCCGTCGTGCGGCAAGGGCTGCGGCGGCATGGTCCGTGGTGTGCTCTTCCCTTGATGCTGGACAGGGGTAGTGGTGGCATGGTGGCGGAGCGTGCCGACCGGATCTGACGCTTTTTCGGCAAGCGGCACGGATTGGGGCACCAGCCCGCCGTGGCTGCTGCTCCGGCTGTGGGCAGCGACGGCAAGGTGGCTCGGCCCTCTGGGTGGCTTCCATTCGCCGAGCCGGCTGCAATGGCGACTGGCTATCCGATGTCGGTTCATTTCGACCTTCGATCCCTCTCCTTGTCGTCCGGTCACTACCTTCCTCGAAGGGTGGGCCCTTCTCCAGCTGCGGTCCATCGCTCGTCTCGCGCCTAGCTGCAGGACCAGTTTTGGCCGAGCGTTGGGGGCCGTCCAGATGTGAAAGGTGGGTCCTTTCTGCTTGTATCTTTGGTTGGGGTAGCGGAGGGTCTCCAGTGAGGTGGTGTCAAGGTCTTGGATGTTGGGATGGCGGCCCTGGTGGTGGTTCCGCGGTGCTCATGGGCAGAGTCCGTGGCTCGGTGCTGCCCGGTGCATGGCCATGGTCATGTTGGGGGTGTGGTCGTCGGGGTGTGACGTTTGGTGGCGATGTGTGTTAGCCGGGGTGAAAACCTGATCTATCTTCGGATGGACCGACGGCGGTGAAGCTCGCTCCCTTCTTGAAGGCGTCGTCGTGGCTCTCATTACTCATCGTATTGCTCCAGGGGAAACTCTGATCCTGAGTCGGGCAGTGGCGGCGCTCTGGTGTTGTAACCTTCCTGAAGGTGCCGCCTTGGAGCTCACGATTTGACACATACGGCTTCATCTCTTTGTGGTGGTGTGCTCACGGTTGAGGACTCTGGTTGCTCTTGTAGTGCTAGGGATGGTGTTGCCGCGATCAGCGCCTATGTATCCTGCCTTGGGTGTGTGCGTGTGTTGTGGTGGCGTGTGTTTTGTACCAGATTGTGGTTGATCATTGCTTTATATATAAAGCGGGGTGAAAGCCTTTTTCGGTATTACACTTCACATCTCTCATATTCCCCACTTTTACACTTATCTGGTACCTTCTGACCTGTCGGACGGTTGTACCAAACTCAATGAGTTGTGAGAGTTCTGTTGAGCAAACTACCTTTTTCCCTAAGTCTCATCCAAAAGTGTCGAATGTCGTTCTCAGCACCTCCGAGCTTCTCTACATTTCCACTGAGCCCCATCTTTCGCGTGCCTCATAAACCTATCCACAATTCGCTCATCATGATGCCACCGCAACCTCTTTGCCTCTCTAGGGTTTGCAAACAAATGCCTCAACCTTGAAATTAAAGGCAAGTACCAAACAACCTTGAACGGGATTCATGTCTTGATCTCGTCGTCCAATTTGTGCTTGTCCTTTGCTCTCCTGCGCTTGTATCATGCATGCTTGCATGTGGGACATGCATGCAAATCTTTGTACTCACCACGGTACAATATACAATCATTCACACAAGCGTGTATCTTCTGTACTTCAAGTTCCAATGGGCAAACAATTTTCTTTGCTTCATTCGTGCTTCTGGGAGCACATTATCTTCCGGAAGAATTTCTTTGAAAAGACCTAACATCTCTGTGAAGCCCTTGTTTGATAGACTGTTTGCTGCATTAAATCTGAGAAGCGCCAGGGTGGCATTCAATTTGGAATATTTCTTTTTGCAACTAGATACAATTCTTTCTTGTAGTCGACATCAATGGTTGGCAGATCCTTTTACCCA